ACAGCAAACATACCCACGCAGAATTATTTCAGTTACAAGCTCATGCAAAGCAAAGCACAGTTCAGAAGCAAGAAAAGTAACATAAAATGAGTGCTCTGCTCCCATGCAGTCAGTGATGGAGAATGCAACATTTGATGGACTTCAGTAATGAAACTGAAGTGCAATGGGCATGTGGGACAAATGAGAACATTGCGGGTATATAAGCAGGTATCACATTGCAAGCTGCTCAACATCCGCTAGTGCTGCTGCCCACACAGTGACCTTGTGTTTCTACTCTCTGTTAAAACACATGGTAGGTGCAATTGCGAAGGCTGTATGCTCCAGCAACTTGGGTGGTGCTGTTCCACATATGCTTTTAGGGCATTTCTTGGGTAACAGCATTTAAACACACACACACACACACACACACACACACATTTTATAAAAGGGTAACAGCCAAGATTGAAATTGTTCAACATGCGGCATTCATCCATACATCCATACTGGAAGGAGAAAGAAAATTTGCCAAGAAAGAGGAAATGGGCACGCAGCTCGTTTATAGCAAACTGCAACTTTCCCCTCTTAATGAAAAACAAGCCTGCAAAAGTCTCTGTGTGTCCCATTCTTCTGCCAATGAACAATACACTCTTTTTTTCTCTTCTTTTGTGGGATTTACCTCAGGTCACTGTGAAGAAAAACTGCAGGCCTGCTCCAATTTTCAGCCGAGTAAATGGAACCATTCCCTCTGACTTTAATCCATTTTGGATAGATTTCTTGTATAACTGACTTTGTCGTAGCAAAGAGAAGCACCATCCCCAATTTCAGATTACTCTTTCTTCCTTTGCCTGTAAGACCTTCCAAGTTGAGAATTGTTTTTTTCCATTCTCTCTCTCTCTCTCTACACACACACACACACACACACACACGCCATAACAACAACAAAAACCCAAAACTCCGGCAGAATATTTCTTTGAATTATGATAAAAGGAGAAAAGAAATGAAAAGTTTGAGAGGCATTCTAGAGACTCATCACACAGCTGACATTTAAGAAAAATAAATACAGCCAGCAGCTGTTGTGAGTTGAACAAATCATGTAGCAGCCATTACCTGAAAATAATTTAACAAAAAATATTCCCGTTTCAATGAACTGAGTGGAGCACATTTGTTAAAACTGTCTTGCTTATCTTTTTAAAATTTTGTCTTGCTTATCTGGGGAAAATTCAATAAATGCCCATCTAAATTAATATAACAGTTTATTTACCAAAAAAAAATTGTAGGCAGCAAGTGAATGGCTGTGCAGCTTGAAGTCCCACCACAGAAATAGAAAATATCAATATGCTTAGTGGTTGTAAGTTGCACAGGCTACTCAAACCCATCAGCTTAAGCACCTAGGGGATAGATCAGTTGTAAATGACTGCAATTTGGACTAACCAAAGATTCTGAGACAGTGAAATTGGGGAAATAAGAGAGGCAGAGATGGAAATGAGAAGTGAAACTCCAATAATTACCTGTGTTGAGGAAGGGAGGGCAAATAGAAATGTTTCCCTTGGTCTCACCATAACCTGCAGATCCATGGTCATAGCTGGGTCCAGGTTGCTGGGTGGTGGATCTAAAATAGTGTCCTGGTATGGAGAAGTTACCAGCCTTGGACAAGCTTCCATAGGGCATCCATGAGCAAAAGTCTGGTTCCACCCTGTGCTCCTTGGAACTCCCTCAATGGTTGAAAAATAGAAAATACTTTCCTTCTGGACTGGACAGAAGGGAGATTAAATGTTGTTTAATTCAAGTTCTGCATCGTTACAGACATATCAGGACAAGTTTTCCCCCACAAAGTGGCAGGGAGATAGTGGCCAATCGGAATTCACACTCATGGGGGCAGGTGGAGGACATGGAAATTTAGACTTCATCCAATTACTAGGGGGATGAGCTTGGTGGAGGCTGCCTTCGGTACTACCTCGAGTCAATTACATTTTGTAATTTGTCTGGAGGTTTCAGTACAATCAAGCTATATATAGATTTTGTTGAATAAATAAATAAAGTGCTAAATAAGTGTGTCTGCTTTCATCAGATATGGTGGAAGTTCCAGACTCCTCAAGTTTGCACTTTCATGATCCATTATGCATAGTGGTAGGGAGGGCTGCTATGGGATGTATATTGCGTGGGAACCACTGGTGTTCCTGGTAGGGGTAGGTACTTACCTCGGGCTACTGCTGTGTCCTCTGATTCCTTGCAATGATGTTGTGTTCACTGCTCAGAGCAATGTTACCATTCAAAATATTTATAGCCCGTCATTCATCAACAAGGGATCCCAGGGCAGCGGTACAGTTTTTTAAACGCCAGAATTAAATACAGCAAGAACAACCAGTACAGCTAAGAACAACAACAGATAATCAGGTATCAGAACAAAGATGCTGTTTGATTCAGCAAGGCTCTTCTTATATTCCTGGAGGACTCTAATGGCAAATCAAAACCTGTCACTTTCCTCGTAGTCTCATGACTCATATTTCAGAAAGTTCTAACACACAGGAAGATAAATGTGGTTGCTTTACTCCTGAGGCCAAATTGAAACCAGCACTTTGGGGTGGCTTTCCCTTGGTGTTCCTGTTGGGATATTCTAGAAAGAACTTGAGAATTGGTCTTGAACAGGTTGCTAGGCAACAGAAAAATCTACCCAGCAACAGGTGCCTTTATTAAGGGCATGCGATCAATAAGGGTCAGAGTAAAGTGTCAGTGTGTAAATGAGCACGAGTCAGTATTGGGTCTCTGGTTGGATGGCTGGAAGAAGAAAATATTGTGTTATGGTATTTGTATTTGGCCAGTGGAACTTTTTGTAAATAATAAAGAAGCTCAATTAAAAGGAAACTCTGCTGCAAGTCAATTAAAAGAAGAAAACCCAAGAGTAGATGCTGCACACACATCAACAGTTCCAATACACCCTAGATGAGGAATCAAAATGAACCCTGCGGTACAGTCTCCTGGCCTTTTAGCTGTTTCAAGAGTATGGGGAAAGACACCGGTTCAGTGGTAGAGCAGACAGAAGGTCCCAGACTCAACCCCCAAGCAATTACAGGGTCTGAAATCCTGGGCAGCCATTGCCAGTCCATGTAGACAGTACTGAGCTACATGGAGCAATGGTCGGACTCTGTGTAAAGCTCTTATTTTATTTTTATCTGTTCCCAATCAGTCCAGTTTCCATTCCACTCTCTAAACTGTATTTCTATAGCACGCCAGTTGTTTGGTTTGGTTTTAGTTAGGAAGGGGGAGGAAAGAAAACAAGGGGTGGAGTGATAGAAGTTCATCAAACTTACCAGCTTTCATTAAAGCCAGGCATGATGTGGAGAAATACAGAAATAGTTTAAATAACTAAGTTTGCATTTGCCTCTCACTACATTAGGAACTGGGATCATCCAATGAAGCTGAGGGGTGGGAGGTTCAAAACAGACAAAACGATGTCCTTATTTACACAGCTCGTCACTCACCTCTGAAATTTGCTGCTATAAGATGTGGTGATAGCCACAAACTTAGAGGTGTTTTTTTAAAGGAATTAGACAAATTTATACAGGATAAAGCTCTCCATAGCAATTAGTCTTGATGATGGATGTATGCCACCTCTAGGATCGGACACATTGCTGGGAAAGATCAGCAGGAGAGGACTATTCTGCTTGTAGGCTTCCCAAGCCATCGCACTGGCCACTCTAGAAAACAGGGTGCTGGACTGGACAGGACTTTGGACAACCCTTCTATTCTTAGGTCATCGTTTTGCATCTCTATGGGTTTTGCAGATGGCCACATACATTATGCAGATCCAGATTCTGAAACAAAAATGCAATTAAACATCTGTTAGGAATTTCCTAATCCTATTGGATACAAATTTGGGACTGGGGAAGAGGTCGGTGGCTGCTTTCTCTTGAATTCTGCTCTATGTAGCCTTGAAAATGGGGGGGAAAGCAGTGAGTTAAAACACACCCAGTTTTGGCTTCATGTGCTGTTTGACTGAGCTGAAACAACAAAGAGCAACTATAAAATAGTCTGATGTGTACCGATAGAGTAAGCGCCATTGCTTCATAATGTTACTTAGCTGGCTAGATTAACAGAGAGAAAGAGGGAAAGAAGTATGCCCAAAACAAAAGTTGCTGCTATTCATGGTTCAATTCAATCCAACATGCTCTCTTCCAACATAGAATAATAGAATTGCAGAATTGATGGAATATGCAGAGTTGGTGAAATTTACAGCAAGATCAGAAGAAAAGGACAGCAAAGACTACAAAAGATTGGAATGTATTTATTTTATATATACAGAAATATTGTAAAGAACTAGACTCACTAGCAGGTTTTGAGTAAGCCCTTACAATTAACAAAATAGAATATGGTAGATGTTGAAAAACGATGTGGAAATAAATAAGTAGAATATGGGATTTAAACGGTTTGATATAAAATATTTTGGAAGAAAATAGTGTTTTTAGGTAAAGAGGAATGATATTAAGATTAGATTAGAATATGCAGAATGAGAAAATATTAGAAAGAACCGGAAGGGGGAAGTTGAGGGAAGTCTATGAGTGGGGGGGAGGGGATGTATGCTTCCTTTCTTATGTGATTTATGTTTATGGATTATTCAATTTAATTTTAAAAAGCTTTTTTTTAAAAAAGAATGGCAGAGTTGGGAAGGGACCACGAGGATCATCAATAATAATAATAATAATAATAATAATAATAATAAATTTTATTTATACTCTGCCCTCCCCAGCCAAGACCGGGCTCAGGGCGGCTAACACCAGATATAAAACAATTGATTGAAATACAACTTTAAAACAAGATTAAAATAAAACACTAAAATGCAGCTTCATTTCAGCAGAAACTCAAAAACTTTGGGGGGTGGAAATGTCAAGTCTTCACCAAGGCTAACTATCCAGACTGGTCCTATGTGTGCCAGAAAAAAGCCAGGGAAGTCCCCAGGTAGGAGTTCCATCACAGAAAAAAGAAAGAGGGGTTCTAGTCCAACCCCCTGCAATGCAGGAATCTTTTGCCCAAGATGGGGTTCAAACCCAAGACCCTGAGATGAAGAGTCTCATGCTCTACAGACTGAGCTATCCTTCCAAGATAGTCTGTTCTCCCTCCCTTCCTCCCACCCAGTTTTCCTTCCTTGCCTCTCAGCCAGCAGTCCATGCCCTCTCATTATGCTCAGTCCTCATTGGGCTGTTTTTTGTCTCCCTCCCTTTTGAGGTTCCCCCCCCCCTGTGAATATTTCTTTGTACTTCTGCAAGCATCAGGGTTCCCCCAAGTCCACTGGCGCCTCCTTCTTGGCCTGTTGGGTGGTTTTATTTATGCTACATAGGCACTCACAGCTGAACATTGGGAATAGAGTGGGCAAGTGGGAACTGCAACACATTTCAGTGTGGATTGTTTCTTTTCAGGGTTACATCCAGCCATGCCCACTTCAGTGATACTCCACTGCTTTCCCCCTTCCCTGATTTTCTGCATTTTCCAATCCATTTTTTTAAGGGGTTGCCCCCTGCCCCAGGCTATTTTTACAGAGGTGTTGGGGGGTTTTTTTGTAGTTCTGTAAATGTTTGGGTTCTTGGAGCTACTGGTACCTCGCTCTTGTTTGTGGATGGCACTGTTTTGTGATTTGGGCACTACGTAACAATCAGCACTCAGAGAACGTGTTCACAATTCCTGTATTCGTGTATGTGAACACACATATACATACACATATAGATGCATTGCCATAGGCACAAAATTCAGTGGATTTGTTGCGTTTGTACGCCTTGAAAATGGATAGTCCATAAATTGGTTCAACATGAAGCATTTTCCGATTTGCAATGGCCCTTTTCATTCCCATACTGGGTGGTCCCAAACCAGCATCTCATGATGCAGAGGCAGGCAAATGTGTTTGTAAAAGAAAGACCCAGGAAGGAAGGCATTTTTCACTATAACCTTGTACATGATTTGTAATCAATGACATTTTCCTTCCAGCAAGAGCAGCAGATCCAAATTCTGAAACGGCTTTAGCTGGTTAAGGGGGGAAAACAAAGAGTTCTTAATTTTTGAAGGAGAACCCTTCAAGGCGAGACTCTGTGCTCTTGCTAAGGAAAGCCAGCCTTTTTTTTCTATGGTTCTGCGTTTGAAATGAAGCTGAAAACTGCACTTCATAGCTGATACCAAGGTGATACTCTGCACTATTTGCTATCTATTTCTGTGGCCATAGGTTTGGTTCACATAAGATTATTCATCATTTAGGAGCATAGGAAAGTCTTATACTGAAGCCAAACCATTGGTCCATCTAGCTCATTATCTACTATGATGGACAGTGGCTCTCTGGGAATTCAGGCACAGGGGGGTGTCTCCTCCACCCCCTAGAGATAATAATAATAATAATAATAATAATAATAATAATAATAATTTATTTATTTATATCCCACCCATCTGGCTGGGCTTCCCCAGCCACTCTGGGCGGCTTCCAGAAAAATATTAAAATAATGTAATACATCAAACATTAAAAGCTTCCCTAAACAGGGCTGCCTTCAGATGTCTTCTAAAAGTCTGGTAGTTGTTCCCTTTGACATCTGATGGGAGGGCCTTCCACAGGGAGGGCACCACTACCAAGAAGGCCCTCTGCCTGGTTCCCTGTAACTTGGCTTCTCGCCGTGAGGGAACCGCCAGAAGGCCCTCAGTGCTGGACCTCAGTGTCCGGGTAGAATGATGGGGGTGGAGACACTCCTTCAGATATACTGGACCAAGGCCATTTAGGGCTTTAAAGGTCAGCACCAACACTCTGAATTGTGCTCAGAAACATCGGGAATTGAACCTGGTACCTTCTGCGTGCAAAAGAGATGCACTGTCACTGAACTACGACTCATCCCATGATACTTAAGTTTGGCTGAAAAAGCAAATGATGCCTTGGAGGTGGGAACAGGACATAGTTACAGGCATCATATCACAGGCAGAACTTCCATATCTGCCCTATTTGGGGGTCCAGGTTCGCATCACTGTAATTCACTTGATGCAATGCAGCAAGACAACACACATTCACTCTCCTCCCTGCATTGACCCCAGCCCAGTGCTATCAGACCCTCCAAGTGTCCCTTTTTTCCAGGGACAGCCTCGAATTTACAGAAGCCACCCCAGTTTTTGATTTGATCCTGGAAGGTCCCGCTTTTCCTGAGGACGTCCCTATTTTCACTGGAGAAATGTTGGAGGGTATGGAGTTATGTGGCCCCCGAGCCAAGGAGATAAAGAACTATACAGTGGTACCTCAGGTTAAGTACTTAATTCATTCTGGAGGTCTGTTCTTAACCTGAAACTGTTCTGAACCTGAAGCACCACTTTAGCTAATGGGGCCTTTAGCTCTGCCGCTGCGCCGCCAGAGCACGATTTCTGTTCTCATCCTGAAGCAAAGTTCTTAACCCGAGGTACTATTTCTGGGTTAGTGGAGTCTGTAACCTGAAGCGTATGTAACCTGAAGCATATGTAACCCGAGGTACCCCTGTACAACCTTTAGAAGACATCTGAAGGCAGCCCTGCATAGGGAAGTTTTTAAATGTTTAATGTTTTATTATGTTTTTATATATGTTGGAATCCACCCAGAGTAGCTGGGGCAACCCAGTAAGATGGACAAGGTATAAATAATAAAATTATTATTATGGAATTGGACGTCCTTGTTTTCATTGGAGAAATGTTGGCAGGTATGTTCATTGAGGTCATGTCTGCAGTGCAGTAGCCTGCTAAGCACATTTAAGCTGGAATTCAGAGCTTTCATGGTTCCAGCTCACAGGGACACCGTCCATATCTTCAGAAACTACCTACACACAGCCATGACCCCAATGCAAGGAGAGCATTGGGGAGAGGCTTCTGCAGGGCAAAAGTCATGCACAGAGCAACTATGCACATCCCCGCACACTCCAACTCTCTGAAACCCTCGCTGTTTCTACTGTGCAAGACAAGCAGCCGTATAACTAAAGGTGTGTGGCTGGTGGGCTGTAGGAGAACTTCACTGCCAGTCTACATTTTGACGGAGCATAAGGCAATCCATTGTTAGCGGTTGGCAAATGAAGTATCAAATGCAGGCAGGACCTGTACATTTTAGAGCCCTTGTTTCATGCACCATGGGAGGTATACGTATCGAATGCCGTAAAAGCCCGAGGGCCTGTAGCAATTGATCCAGAGTTCTGTCTTTGCCCAGTTTTCCATTTCCATTTTCCGCTCACATTTTCCTTCATTCCAGCTTTTATTGCTAGTAAATCTTCAGGAGCAGGGGTCAATATGCACATCAGCATTTCAGATGCTTATTTTCTCTCTGTGTGTGTGCATGTCTGTGTAATCCTGTGTTTCGTTTTGCCGTGTTTCCTTCTCCAGCCATCTGGTTCCATCTTTTGCTTTATAGTTTCATTGTATTCTCTAATTTCCCTATTTATTGTATTCTTTCCATTAACACTAGCTAGCTTGCAGACTGTGGCTGCTTCAAGGTACTAACCAGCCAGTTCTTTCTAGCACTTCTCATTCATTGCCCACTCCCTCACAGCTTACTCTTTAGAAGGCAGGAAACATTGGAAAAAGTCATTCTGTGATCAAACATAATAGGGAAGTAAACATATCTAGCAGCTGGATGAGAGAATCTGAACTTGTTATGCAAAAAGAGTAATGCAAAGTGACATGGGTGGCAGAATCGAAACTGTTTATTAGGTCACATGATGGTTAGGAGTATGCAAGAAAAGCAGAGAAATAATCAGAACTTTGGAATGAATGTTAGGGTCTCTCCAAACATCATTTTCTTAGGTGATCACCTAAGATATTTTAAGGGAACATATAAAAATGTAAAATGCGAATTTTGCAAGCAAGTGTGTCAAACACATGCATGCATAAGGGAGATAAGGTCCCACCCACCATCCATTTAAAAGGGCTTTTTTTAGCTGGAACTTGCTGGAACTCAGTTCCAGCACCTCTTAAGGTGGGAACCATGGCCATTATAAGAGAAGAAAGGAGGCATTTATGAGAGTTCCAGCACCTCTTTTTCTAAATAGCACTTCATTTAAAGCATTCTTAAACCATGGCTCTCCCTCCCCCCACAAAAACCCCTTGCAGAGCTATAGCTCCCTTAATAAACTACAGTTCCCAGGATTCTTTGGGGAAAACCATGACTGTTAAAATGGTACAATACTGCTTTGAAAGTATGTTGTGGATGTGACCTAAGAGAGGCTATGACTTCCTGGCAAGTGTGCACTTCTGCACAGTGTTGGCCCAGGACATTTTGCTGCCTGAGGCAAAGGACAAGATGGAGCAGCTCCTCATTCCACATACAGCAGCTCACTGGACCAGCAGTTGAATCTAACTTTAACATCACAGGACAGCATATTCCACTGCACTTGGGGCAGCTGGCTAGTTTAGGCTGTGCCAGACAAACCATTCTGCACACACAGCTCTGTTTGCTCCATGCCCCTCAGCATCATCTGCCACCTGAGGCAACCACCTCACTCTACCTAATGGTAGGACCAGCCCTGATTCCATGGCAAAACCAGGTTCCTCCTATGCAATGAGTGAACTGGCCCTTAGACTATGGTGCATTAGTTATTTTAATGACTATTTATGAACTGTTTTTGCAGTCCTCTTAGGATGGCTATGGTATTTAATTTCTTGTTTAATATTAGACTCTCCTGACCACCATCATCCTATGCACATACAACTGAATAAAACTTCTAGGGTTCCTACTCTGCACTACCAGCCAATCCTTGGCTTTACTCCTGACTTGTTGCTGTTTCGTTCCGGCTTCATCTTAACTTCAACTACTTGGCTCTGGGAAGTTAATTTCTGACTGTGCATTTCTTGGCTTCTTGCTGCCAAAAACCACGAGCCAACAGAGTTCCAGCTGAAAAGGCAAAGCCATGTGGGCACAGACAAGAACTCTTCTTTTCAAAGACAGCAGTGGGGGAAGTAATTGAACCCCAGGATCTAGTCTCTTCGATCACCGCCCATATTTTTTTTGCACTTCACTTCCCATAACTGAAATCCATCAGTTCATCTGCTGCTTCCAGTTAACACCCACTCCATTCCAACATCTCACATGATTCCCTGTATATATGGTGCAATACAAAAAAAA